AACAGAGGGAAAAACAGATTTTTTTTTTTCCCCCTACATACCACGGAACCACGTTGAATATCTGATCCGAATTATTCAAGGAATTTTTTTTAAGAAAAATTCAATAAATTTAAAAACTAATCAATTAAAACTCCTACGCTCATACTCCGTAAATATCCTAAATTAACCACCAAAATAAATACTATTCTTAATATCCCTACTCAGTCTGCAGGTAGGTTACTATTTCCGGTCGGTAACTAACTAAATTAGGACCGATCAAGTGTCTTTTTGTTTATTTTAGTTTCACTTTCAAACAACTGCGATGGCCAATGTTTTACATCACCCCCCACTTTTCTGATGAAATGCTTGTTAACTTGAAATCGTAACCGAGCTTGACTAGCAATTATTATTATTATTAGCTCTCGGAATAAGAGACACATTATCTGGTCTACAGATACCATCCATCATAGCTTCTCTTATGTATATGGTACTAATAGTAGTTGTCATGAATTGGTATACAAGACAAATAAGCATGACTAACGACAGTCTTACTGGTCTGGAGTATGACCAGTACTTTTGAATCAAAGACACCTTACAGGAGAAATTGAACGCGTCAGCCAACATAGACGCATAGGCCTCTGTGAGTCTGTGAGCCAAGAGCACGTGCTTCATGTCGGCAGATGATCGAGTTAATGCATACTACTGCACATATATCATCGATATCAAAGCTTCAGCCCTGTGACGGCGAACTTGTTCAAGAGCAGCTCAACTCCAAACTATCCACTCAATCTGACATCATATACATAGTAGCTACTATTAGCTCATGCCCGAGCTCCCGTACGCCACAAATGATCGAAAGAGACGGGAAAAGCACGGGAGCACTGGACAAGATGGTAATGGGATTGATTCGTCGTGCATCTCAAGTCCGACCCACCACCATGCTTAAAATAGCCCTTCCCCATAAGTGCACCGCCATACACGATGGAGAAGCGTCTTAATAATAGTAGAAGTGACGTTGAATTGGAAATACTCCGTAGTTCGTAGTATCCGTGCAGGCTCCGTGGAAAAAAAAATCATGGCTTGGTGACAATGTAGAGGAACTTATCGTAATCGTATTCGGGCCATGATATCGGTCATCGCACCACCATTATCGTGGCATCTAATATGCTGCATCGTTCAGACGATTCACAGACCAACTAGTTGATTTTGCGTGGAATTTGCTACAGTTATCGTCGCTTATCTATTGTTAGATGCTTTTTACTTATCGTCAATTATCGTTAATTAGCTTCATATATACATAGTTAGTTGGATAGAAGACATCATAATTACGACAGGCACACATAAGAAATGTGTAGAAAGAGCAAAAAGAACCCCTCTTGGTAGACGCGCGGCGAAGGACGATCCCTCAGTAAGAAAACCCCACTGGATCAACCGGTGTCCTGAGATGATGGGAAGCAATGAGCGGGAAATGGCGACTCGGGCACCGACTTAGCACCGTTGTCTGTTCGTGCGTTTCTCTGTGCGCATCGTCCGGGCACTAAATATGGAATTTTCACCTTAGATAGCACATAGCATTCATTTAGATCTGCTCGTCATGCTCCACGAACCTTTCGGTTCAAAGGACGAGACTATTGTATACTGTAGTAGGCGTGAGACCCTCGATTCGAAACCTGGGGTAACGCCTTGGGAAGCCATGGTTGTTCGAACACTCTCTACGCCAGTCCACCGGGGTAGACTGCGCACCTCGAGAGTGCGGACTGCCGTGAATCATTGGGCCTTTCCCCTGTTGATCGGTGGAGCCCTGAACCCAATGAACCGCCTTATGTTGTGCGAACGGCTGAGAGCACCAATATGTTTTCTCCAAATCCATCCATAGAGTCTAATGCTGCATAGTCTTTGAGGATTGGGCTCGACTCGGTCAAAGGTCACAACGGGATCATGCCCGATAATATCCAGATTCCGTTGAGAGATTAACAATCAGTCAATTACCTGGTCCTACCTATCCCCGATGCTAATTTCGAGCAGGGCCCCTGAAGTGTGGACACCCTGCGGAAAGATGAGCACCCCTTTCTTTATCAATTATCCGGTAGACAAGAGTTCCTAAAAAAAGAAGCTCACGAACACTCTGGGTGGTTTGTCCCCACAGAATATTCCGGAGAAGGTTCAGGGAGCGATAGGTTCTTCAATAGTTTGATAACTCTACCAGACTCTATTCCTCATCGACAATCATGTCTCAGCGTCTTCGGGCCTGGGAGACGTTACATAGGTCATGTCTAGGGTTTGATGGCGCAATCACTCCGACTCCATGTACCAAGGACAAGCCGAATGGTTTCTCGCGCGAGCAGACGGGATCCTGTCTAACCACGACTAATCGATTCGGCACTTTACCAGAAAGTTTTTATTAGTACTATTGATATGACTGGCACTATGCAACGCGAATATCGACTAGTCAGGCCAGACCCGACCAGGGTGTAAACGAATGCTAGTACCTGTACGGAGTACTTCGTACAACGCTCTCCTACCCTCCTTGGCAGTCTTAGCGTTTAATAAGCAATTAATGACGCCGACCAGGGTCTAGTCGAGCCCTAGTTTTGTCGAGTCAAGCACAATCAGCCAAGCTTCCTTCATGTAATTAACGGGGCTGATTAGATACATCGGCTGCGTTTCTAGACCGCCGACAGAGGCAGGGATTAGATGAGGAGCTTTTTACTCGGAGAAACACGATTGTGTGGCGAGAACAATAAATGGATGTCTGAACCCCGTTCGGAGATTTTACAAGTGCGCTATTCATGAGTAGTAGAGGATTACCAACGGAACCGGCCGTCAGCACTTTGTACGCGCAGTCACACGTCCTAAGTACTATCATGTCGGGCGCGAGGAGGGAAACCGCATGATGCAGAGCACCATTGGGTCAAAGGATACTAAAACTTTGATGTAAACCCCATTTCCGAGTCTTGTGACTTTTATGAAAAATCGATATAGGATCTCTCCGGACTCTATGGTTACAGAAGGAAGAGAAAATTCTGTTCTACTCAAAAATTGATCATTTCTGTAGCGACTTGCCTCGCATTGAGAAAAATAATCAAGATAAAAATGGTAGCAGAGACACAGGGGTTAGTGGGGCTGAAAACCCACTGGGGAACTTGGGTATTCAAGTCATTGGCCCATGGGTGGATCCCAAGAGCCACAGCGGGCTGTTGGCGACTTGAATAAGTGGAGTATGGCGTCAGGAACGGAAGTATGTCCAAGACCCTGATTGGCTTGACCCAGAAACATGAAACATCTATCGGGAGTTGTTCAACGTCCTTGTGGCTTGGCCGATGAAAAGACCTTCCCCTGAAATTGCCCCAGGATACATGGATGTATCACTCAATGATTGTTTTGGGCGCAGGGCTAATTTCCGGACGGGGAATTTTTTTTTTTTTTTTTTTTTTTTTTTGCCACGAGTGGATGTGACAATGGCAATTGTGTAATGGCAACAAGATTTACTACTCGTCGTAGGGATGTTAGCACGACGACGATATTGTCTGGGATAAAAATACTCGGGTCTTACTGTTCAGTCAAGAAAATAGTTCATGATGATCTTTTGCCATTCGTGATTATAACTGAATCCAGAAAGTGACCGACAGATCATCAGCGCGCTCAACTTCCTGAACTGAACCCAAGCAGCGCAAGCATTGACTGAAACCAGCTGTGGCAGCGAAGCTAATCACGAAACTAGTAAATTAGTTCACTAGTAGTCGTTCTTCTCGACGGCCACATCCGCCAACCATGATGCTTCAAACCGCCATCCCACGAGCCCCATGAGGATGGCGGCCCCATCCAGTTGATGAAGCGCCCACCTATTGGATTTAGTCGCGGTTGTTTTGTTTCTCCTGGAGAAACACACCGCATTACAGTTCACCAATTGATAGACTCAGAGTCTAGCAAAGCCAGTATCTGCAGCCCTCTCCACTCGCCTGCAGTCCCCCTCTCCCCTTTTCGTCCCTGGGACGATCTCCAGGTTAATCTCCCGGCTCATACAAAGCCTCCAGGTTCCCCCGTCGTTTCTTTCGTTTGTTTCAATCCGTTCCTTCTCTCAAGTCCAAACTTCCTGCTTGAAGCATATCAGTTTTTTGACTTCGGTCAGCCATTCTTTTACCAACCAAACCAACTACCCACACTCTCTTTTTTAGCCCACCGCTAAATACAACACCCATAAATCAACCTTGACGGTTATATTATCTCGTGTTTACAAAACCCTAACAGTCAAAATGCGTTTCTCTGCCACCACCATTGCTCTCTTCGCCGGCCTTGCTGCCGCCCTCCCCAACGGTGAGGTCCACACCGTCTACCAGACCGAGGATGTGACTATCACCTCTTGCGCTCCTACCGTCACCGACTGCCCCGGCCGTCAGACCTCCACCCCTGAGGGCGTTGAGCCAGTCACCACTCCTGCTGCTGTCACCACTGAGACTCCCGTTGCTCAGACCTCCTCTGCTGAGGTCCCTCCCGTTGTCGAGTCTTCCTCTCAGGCTCCTCCCGCTGAGACCCCTGCTGTCCCTACCAGCAGCTCTCCTGTTATCCCCCCTCAGGTTCCCAGCGGCAGCGCCAGCGGCAGCGTCCCCCCTGCTCCCTCCAGCAGCAGCCCCGTCATCCCTCAGCCTCCTCAGCAGCCTAGCCAGGGCACCACCGTCATTGCTGTGACCACCTGCATCCCCACCGTCACCTACTCTACCATTGTTGGCACCCCCACCGGTGTCTCCCCTGGCAAGAGCTCTTCCGTCCCTGTTGTCGGTACCCCTGCCCCCAGCGGCGGTGCTACGTAAGTTACTCCCCAACTTCCAAACATGAAGAAAAAACCCACAAATACTAACAACAATCCCAGCCCCTCTTCGTCCGGCCCCTCTTCTCTCTTCACCGGTGCCGCCAACACCGTCGGCCAGTCCTTCGGCCTTGCCGGTGCTGCCGCCGCCGCCGCTTTCTTCCTGGCCTAAATTCCCTTCTTGTCAATAGTGTAGCCCCGATTCACTCGTGAGTCCGGCTCCGCTTGCTGAGCGGGGGGAATCTAGTAATGGACGTTTTGTGTGAATGATACCAGAGTTGGACGGGGTTTGTCTTTAGTTTGTGTGTGGTTCTGGGGAGAGTTAATACCATTTGACTTCTTATGCTTCATATTTTACACATACTCTTTATACCTTTTTTTTTTTTTTCTTATTCTTTGTTACTCTTCTTGGTTTGGCTTCTGGATCGCTTCGAAGATGTGAAGCGGTTCGGTCGCTGTTTACGATTTAATGTAAACCATGACGCTTTCACAACCTTTTGATCACTCCAAGTCCAGTACCCTCGCCCAATGACTTAGTAGACAAATCTATTAATCCCTAGTTGCAACCACTACAGTATACAATACATACAATAGATCCCGTTTACACAATAACTGCTCAATCCCCCTCCGTGCGACACATAATAACTAACCTATTAATCCCCAACCTCAAAACGAAAATAATGCATATCCACCCCAATTCCAACCCATAATACAAACAAAAAAGGCTGACACTTCCCCAGATTCAGCCCCCCAGTCAGCCTCTCCCACCCGCCATGTCTGATTGGCAATGATTGCACATGAAAAGAGACCCGCTCGTGTCGCAGATCGGAATCTACCAGGAATGCGGGAAATATCGATTTCGGATCCGGATCCCGGGGCTGACGGGTTTCGGATTGATTATTATGGGAACTGGATCGGGATATCATAGATTGTAGTTTGGAGGTTTGGAATTGGTAAGGTGTTTGGGGATGGTTATTGGGGGGGGGGGGGGAATGTTGGGAAATTGGGTGCGGTGTGATTGATGGTCGGTGGTCGGGTTCAACACGGGATGGCCCATAAATTAATTAGTATTACCTATTTAGGGAATTGTAATTGGGGAGTCTATAAGGAGTTCCATGGGATGGGAGGCGTATGTATCTACTATCTACTACTAGTAGTAGTACGTAGTAGTAGTATTTTGTGGGAGAGGTACCTAGGGTTTGGTATTTTGGAAAATCAGTTGTAGTGCTTTGATGAGTCACGATATATCAATTTCAATATCATCCTGGAACAATGAGAGTTTAGAAGGAAAAAAAAATGTATAATTAGACATCATTGTCGCATACCCATGTCGATACATATGCATGGGGCAATGGGCAATATCCATCACACGCTCCAATGCAAGATCATTGCGCAAGGAAAGGGCCAAGTGAGGAAGTAGAATCGACGCGTACTCGGGTTCCCACTCAATGGTTACTAGTGACAATTCCAGACTAGGACTAATGATCTATACATAATATACCTACTACGGAGTTCTAAACTCTTAGTTCCTTATTGCACATACTTATGCCGTGTAACCGCCAGCCTTATGGGCCAAGGCAGGTAAAAAAAAAAGAAAAAAAAAAAAAAAAAAAAAAAAAAAAAAAAAAAAAAAAGAAAAAAAAAAAGAAAACGAAAAAGAAAAAGAAAAGGAAAACAAAACAAAAACGGAAAATACGGGCCGGTCGGATAAAGAAATTGAGCCTGGTTGGATATACTTATTACGGAGTTCTTCAATACATTATATACTGCCAGCAAAATGCTTTCTAGAAGGTAAAGGAAAGAGATCAAGAATGATCTTCGTGGTCTCGCTAAGGGTTTCCTGTTACAAGGATATACTCCGTACACTGCCCGATTTAGAGAATTTTAGTGCCCCGGTTACTCCGTAGTAATGGATGATATGGGAAATGCGCCATCTTGTCAGTATAAAAGTGCAGATGTGCAATCTATTGAGTTCGGCAGAGATCTAACCGATGCAGACCGAATGATAATAATAATAATAATAATCGTCATCATAATCATAGTGACAAGAAATCAATTAATGAAGAGGGGATGAGAGAGGCACAGAAGAACTAGTAGAATTATTTTAAGTAAAATCTGCGGTAATCCATTAGCGAACCATGGATGATGAGGCATAGCGCGGCGATGACAAAGAGCGGCCGTGGCAGTGTTGATGTTTTTGTGTTCTCCCCAAGGCTTTGCTCTTCCCTCTCCTGCTGACCGACTCAAAGCAGCTAATTTCCACCCAATCTTCTCCAGGTTATGGGATGTTCCCACTTGGACCTTCTCCCCCCCTCTCTTGGAGGCGGTTTTCTTTGCTCGGCGCGGCGAAAAGGGACGTGGTGGCGATAATTGAACCCTCCCAGATCTAATCCCCCCGATTTTCCAGGGGCTGGCTTCGATCCATTTATTATTATTATTATTATAATTTTTTTTTTTTGGTTTTGAATCATTCTTACTGGCCAGTGCCTTTTTGTTTACCGCCTGGAGTAGTATACCGAATTATCGCCTGCGTTTGTGTCGGCCGCTCCAACAGTTCATGAAACTCGACCCCAAATCCCTATCCGTCGTACTAATCAGATTGGGTATTTTGTAGAATCCTGCAGGGCATAATCAAAGTGCATGGGACGCCTTCTGCGGTGTCAACTTTACTTTTCCCGCTCTGACATGTTTGATCGACTCACTGGAATAGAAGCTCCGAGATGGAGAGTCGGCATCTAACTTCTACGTAGGGTCCCTTAGTCTTAGGGGCCCCCCATCACCGGATCCCGAGGAGAGGGCTGAATCCACTTATGGATCCTTGATGCATGGGGCGGCGCAGAAATGTTGGTTTTGTTGTGCTGTTCTCTCTGTTGGACGAGGCACGCGAAGGACTCGAAGCTGCATCGAGCACCGCCTCAACGCATTGTCCGACGTTTCAACCATGTGTGATCATATAAGTTGAATAGGGACACTTATCTCGCAGGGGTTTGCTTGATTGAACTCAAATGCTTTCTAGACATCTTCTGTTACCAAATACGCATTTTGTGTGGCGATCCACTTGGCCCTTCCGTTAATCATCGTATTCATCGCTTTTTTTGGAATCTTGCCTCCACGACTTCGTACTCGGCCGTGCCACTTATCTTAGGCAGGGGTCCTGGAATGATCTAGTATAATAATATAGTTGTGAAAACGGCCGGCCCTTTACTTCTCGATCATTTCACTTCTTTCGCCTGTTACCGTTCCCCAGATCGACATCGGCTTGTACTCACCGTCGCCGTCCAGATGAACCCAATAGACCTGTCGTCCTTGGAAGGCCCGCCTATCATTCATCGGCCCCATTCCACAAATCCTTACTCGGGTGTCCCCAGTATACAGTTAGAATATTCAGCGTTACCACTGGAAGCATTCGATGGCCTGCCAAACCATCCTCCGCGGCCAGCATCCGCTGACCCGGTGCCGTCGTCCCGACAGAAGTCGCCTAGTATAGCATCTGGCGTGAACTGGCATCGTCGTGAACGAAGCAACATGCAGCACCCAGCAAACTTAACCCCCGGAAATGACATTCGCCATGGTGCCTCTGAACGGAGAGTCGATTACTCCGCTGCTCGCCGCCCCATCTCTCATCCGGGTCACTCCTCTCCTCTGGGCTTATTCAACCCGCATCCTAGAGTAGAAAGGCCTTTTCGTGCGCAAAGCGCCTCGCCATCCCACCAACTTATCTGGCTCGATGAACAAAATATCTGGGTGCGAGCAGATATCACTGTCTCAACGAATTTCTCCGGCCAAGTGCCAACACTGACTCACTCTCGCTCGATGGACACATACCTTACGAACAATGGCGGGCGGGACGCAGACATCCCCGCCTCCCCTCCACCCCCATATGAACAGCATGTATTCGATCAGCCGATAACGTCGCCGCGGGTGATTCGGGGGGAGCCTTCGTCACGAATGGCCGCGCATGATTCAATGTGGTCGGCCGTTGCGGGGCGGAGGGCACATCGGACCCCTTTTGGCAATTGAGAAGCATTACATACATTCCAACAAATGTTTTAAACTCTAAGCCACCGGTGTCGGCTCACCGAATTGCGGCTTATATCAATAAGCGTTAGTCAGCTGCCATTTCCTGACCCTGCAAACAAATATCTGGCAGCTAGGAAGACAGGTTTTGCGTTTGTATCAGGGATATTGATCACGCATTCCCGCTTGCCAGTGTTTCCACCTGGCTTGGCTCAAAAAGGAGCGACAAGTGTTTTCGTCACTACCTCTCCCAACAACGTGGAGAGAGCTCCTGCCATGCTCAAGAGGTAGAGTGAGTCTTCTAAGCAGACGGCGACCGCCCGGCCTCGAATGTGACGAAGATGATGTGCCAAGAGAAAGTTTACGGAACATTGTATATACCACATTTGGACTATAATCGACCGCACTTCCCCATCCATACTTGTTCCGGGGTTTTACTTTATTCACTGACCTGGCGAACAAGTGAGTCGATGGTGGACCAGATGGCACGCGACTACCACGTGGCGATCATTACGTTCTGGCCCGCCAGTTCTCTGTCCAACAGGGCGAAGATTGGGAACCGAAGAGGCGGATCTGCAATGTGACCAAAGGACGAGACAGGAAAAAGGCGGCGAGTCGCCTAGAAGATTGCCTGCAACGTCAGAAGGCGCCAGAGAAGTGGAACCTCATATTAAAGTGAGACGAGTAACAGTAGAGGCAACACCGGAAAACCGAGAGGGTGGGCCACATTGGCTAGCACGGCTGATCGGGGAAGAAGTCGGCGGTACTTTGTGTAAAAAAAAAAAAACAAGAAAAAAGAAAAAAACCGTACTGAGTACGGAGTATAGGGAAGATAGTTTGCTATGGAAACAATAAAGCGTCATGCATAAGATTTGGTGTTATAATTGGTTTTCTGGCGTACGGATTGGCGGAGTGGATCTGATCCTAGTTGTTGGCGGCTCGGGGGGAAATACTAGTAGTCATTCTTCCCTCTCTGGTTTCTTTTTGTTGGATTGGGTAGCCACGGGGATGGTCATTTTTGATTTTTTAGTGCTTGCCGGATAGAAGATCGTACAGAATTGACTGGACTGAACTGAAGAGGAGGACCGTTACAGGCGATGCAGTAGTGAGACGTTTCTTTTCGACAGGTGAGAGATCGATGGGATTCGACGACAAGCTGCACGCTAGGCGGAGTTCGTCACCTTCAATCACCAGCCTCCATGATTTTTTTTCCCAAGTGGAGGAGGGAAGAGAAATCCCCAAATAAATAAGTCTACACACTAAGGAAAAAGATATGATTACCTATATAGTTTGAATTGATCACTCAAGTGATCGCCAGCCTCGCTTT